GACCTATGAGGTGTTCAGATACACAGTGAGAGGCTTATATGAAAACCACAAGTTCATCTTCACACTCTTGCTGGCTCTCAAGATTGACTTGCAGAATAAGAAAATAGAGCATGAGAAGTTTCAAATACTTATTAAAGGTAAGATAATCATCACTGCCGGGAAAACTGAATGCACCTTTGTGTTATGGCACCTTGTGACATGATAACTCCTTTGAATATACAAATAGGTGGTGCTGCTCTTGACCTAAAGACCTGCCCCACAAAACCATTCAGGTGGATCCTGGATATGGTGTGGCTAAATTTGGTGGAACTCAGCAAATTGTCACAGTTCACTAACATCCTAGCCAAGGTGAGCTTAAGTTCCATTGATCGTACATCTAAGTCCCCTCTAAAAGTGTCCTCACAGAGCTGCAAATTACATATTTTGTAGGTATCGGAAAATGGCAAACTCTGGAAAGCATGGCTCAATCTTGATGCACCAGAGGAAGGTGTCATCCCAGATGGATACAACTCCCTCGATGTCTTCCTTAAACTTTTGTTTATAAGGTTGGATCCTGCTGCTAGTCATGCTGCTTATGTGTTCAAATAGTCAATGTGATGTTTAGTACACTATTCTTACAGGCTAATTCTTTCATAGGTCTTGGTGCCCTGACCGTACCTTGTATCAGGCCAGAAAGTATGTAGGAGAATCCTTGGGCGAGAGGTTTGCTGAGCCGGTCATCTTGAGCCTCCACAGCACATGGGAGGAGAGTGATCCTCGCACCCCTCTAATTTGCTTCCTTTCTATGGGTTCAGATCCCACTGACCAAATTGAAGCACTTGCTAAGAAACTTAATCTTGGTGAGCTTTACTGCTCTATAACACTTAACACTTTTACAAGCTTCTCCTCTTAACTCTTAGGAATCATGCTGCATGTCATGAATTGTGCTGCATGTAGTGATCTCACTACATTGGGTTGTGTCTTATAGAATGCAGAGCTATATCCATGGGGCAAGGGCAGGAGGTGCATGCAAGGAAGCTTCTTCAGACATCAATAACAGAGGTATGTAAAAGTTAATGAACCATTATGTTGTAAGGATGAGTAGTAAAGTGAGGCTGACCGTTTAACCTGATCTGTGGCCTCTGTATCTGGATATATTAAGGGAGGCTGGGTCCTCCTGCAAAATTGCCACCTGGGTCTGGAGTTTATGGATGAGTTGCTAGAAACTATCTCAACTGCAGAGACCATGCACGATACTGTCAGGGTGTGGATCACCACAGAACCACACGATCGATTCTCCATCACACTCCTACAGGTGACACTTCACAAAGCTATGTACGGTGTTGTGAAATTCTTACCTCATGTATTACTTTATATCCCCAGATAACCTTTACAAATACTGTGTGCACTATACGATACTTGTACATACTTAGAGCAAGTTGTTCTCACCCTTTTACCTCTAGTCCTCTATCAAGTTTACCAACGATCCACCCCAGGGAGTGCGTTCCGGCTTGAAACGAACATTTGCAGGAATTTCACAAAACCAGTTGGAAGTCAGTAACCTGACTATGTGGAAGCCTCTGCTGTACAGCGTGGCCTTTCTCCACACCGCTGTGCAGGTACTGTCCATTCGTCAGGAATTAGACAGAGGAGCCTATGAGGAAATATGTAGTGAAGTCAAATCTAAAGGGAATCCTCACATAGTCCTACGTAATATGATCATTCTTAGTTTTTCATTGTTATTTTAGAAAGAGAAATTGATGTATTTATATATTGCTATTCCACTGTAAATCATGGTGTTGTATGTAATAATGTGACCTCATAAAATGTTGTTGCAATATAATGTATACTGAATGAAATTACTGGTCAACAATTAGGTGTAGTTTTACATTCAAAGCTGTCTTATTTTTACACTTAATGTGAATTATGTGGTATGATTAGACATCATTATGAATATTATGAATTATGAATATTTATGAGTGCCTTTAACTATAATTATACAATGCTATAAAGCAGATTGTAACGCATTACAACGATGTTTATAATGTATTGGAAAATGTTCTTCATAATCACATTTTTTCTTTAGTATTAATTGATGCTCATTCACTTTATATAATCCTGTGTTTTCCTTTTCTTTCTGAGGAACGACGTAAATTTGGACCATTGGGTTGGAACATACCGTATGAATTCAACTCTGCTGATTTCACTGCAAGTGTTGAATTTGTTGAGAGACACTTGGATGATTGTGGCCCCAGGAAGGTGAGAATTCGGCAACAGCAGTCTGACTGTAAAGATTATTTTGATCATCTTCCCTCACTTGTCATTTTGTGCTTTCCGACAGGATGTGTCCTGGGTAACCGTGCGATACATGCTAGCTGAAGTGCAATATGGAGGAAGGGTTACAGATGACTATGACAAACGCCTACTCAAGTGTTTTGCTCGTGTAATAATCCTACTATTTGTATTCATTATCCTTGATCAACAATTTTGTTTTGTTTTATTGATTTATTACTATACATGACAATGGGTGTTTTTCATTGCAGGTGTGGTTCAGTAAAAAGATGTTTGACCCATCATTTTGCTTTTACACGGGCTACAAAATTCCCGTGTGCAAGACAGTAGAGGAGTACATGGAATGTATTCAGAGCTTGCCCACGAGGGATTCACCCCAGGCGCTGGGGCTGCATCCTAATGCTGATATCACGTAAGACAACATTATCCTAACACTATTAAGGACAAAGATACTGTTATTATATGTAATTATTAAGTGTAACGTTATTGCTAACATTGCTTTTATGCTTTGTGTTCAATGTTGACCAGGTATCAGACAAACACCTCTGCTGAGGTGCTAGACACGATCACGAATATCCAGCCCAAGGAAAGCGGCGGGGGATCAGGATTGACTCGGGAGACAATTGTTTACAAAATGGCGGAGGACATGTTGGAGAAACTACCCCCTAATTATGTGCCACATGAGGTGAGTTTGTTTGATCGTTAAGGTTTTAGTCACCGCTTTTTTGCACCAACTGAAATCTAAATTCTGCAATTTTCATGGACTAAGGTCAAAGCCAGGCTGTTGAAGATGGGAGCTCTGAACCCGATGAACATCTTCCTGCGTCAGGAGGTGGATCGAATGCAAAGAATCATCAGTTTGGTTCGCATTAGTCTGACTGACCTGAAACTGGCCATTGATGGTACTATCATAATGAGCGAGGTCAGATCACTACTCACTCTAAAACACCAGTGCTTCACTGTTTGTTTCTTAAAATACTAACTTCATTTCCACAATAGTTATTTACTGAATATATTCATATTGTAATACTGAAACATGATATAATACTGAAACATGTTATTTTGAAGTAAAGTGCAAAAGTAATTTTTATTCCTGATAATAAAATAATCTTTAATTATTATGAGGGTGTAAAATGCTGTGAAACTACTGATTTGTACTTTTGATTTGTTGCTCTTAGAACCTCCGTGACGCCCTGGACAATATTTTCGATGCCCGTGTGCCAAGCCTGTTTAGGAAAATCTCCTGGGAGTCATCCACACTGGGCTTCTGGTTCACAGAGCTTCTGGAGAGAAACAAACAGTTCCATAGATGGGTGTTTGAAGGAAGACCCAGAACTTTTTGGATGACAGGCTTCTTCAACCCACAAGGTGAGTCATGTGTTTTTGTACAGAAAGGCATTAGAGTTGTCTCACCCCAATAAGTTAAATAAAACACTAAAATCATAATCTAGAATTGTTGCATTAATACGTTTACGGTGTTAACCTTTGCTAAATGAAGACCTCCAGCAACTGACACCATCAGCTGGGGTTGAATTGATATCAGTTTTGTGCTAATGTCTTCTCTGGGGGATGTTTGCAGGGTTCCTAACAGCTATGAGACAAGAAGTAACGAGGGCAAACGAAGGCTGGGCTCTGGACGCAGTCACTCTGCACAACAATGTGCTGAAGCAGGCACAGGAGGAGATCACAGCCTCACCTACAGTGAGTCAAAAAGCATGGAGATACTGGCAATACACCAACTAAAAACAATAATAATACTAGATCTCAAATACAGCTTACACTTGCATTTATGATGAACTTGGAGGGACATTGCAATAAGTATGACAGTATTGATCTGCTCATTTTGATTGTGAGACGAGCGAACAGTTGTTTATTCTTTAAGGAAACATGCATTATTCTGTCACTGACTGTGCCTGCCCTCAACAGGATGGAGTGTATGTTCATGGTCTGTACCTGGAGGGCGCCGGCTGGGACAAGAAGAACACCCATCTCATTGAGTCCTCACCCAAAGTGCTGTTCACACCCTTGCCTGTCGTCCACATGTTTGCCATCAACTCCACTGCTCCCATGGATCCGAAGCTATATGTCTGCCCCATCTACAAGAAACCAAGTCGAACAGACCTGAACTACATCACAGCAGTGGTGTTGCCTACCATGCAGTCACAGCCACCAGATCACTGGATCTTGCGTGGGGTTGCCCTGCTCTGCGACATCAAATAGATCACAGCTGCATGTCTTTTATTATTATCATTTAATTAAAATTGCCAGCATTGAATCTGCCCGGTAGTATGAGTGACCTCTCAATTTTTATTGAATTACTGATCACAACCACAATGCTGTAAGTCTGAATGCTGTTGCTAAATCTAGTCATCCCGATAACATGAATTCATTTTCTAGAGTTCTTTTTCCTCTGGAGGAAGTTGAGTCGTATTGGAATTCTGACAGGAATGACTGAAAAGTGAGCTCTCTCATGCACTCTCTCAAGTACTCTCTCATGCACTCTCTCAAGTACTCTCTCATGCACTCTCTCAAGTACTCTCTCATGTACTCTCTCAAGTACTCTCTCATGCACTCTCTCATGCACTTTCTCATGCACTCTCTCAAGTACAGTAAACAGCAGTGCAGATAAATGATACTTGTGTTTGAGAACGTCAAATTGAACCTAAACGCAAATGTTTATGCATTTTGCACACGTCATTCACACATTCTCTTATAAATCAGGGAGGATGTCAAGATGTCTTGTTTACATATGGGTTACATGCAATTCATATGATATACTATTTTAAATAAACATTGTTCACTTAAGTCCAAATCTTCATAGCGTTCCATAAACAGTGAAAAGTCTTATCACCTACTCACCATTAGGAAAAATGGTCCTCGAAAAGCACATTAAAAAAAACTATAAAATGAAATGTAGAATTCTTTAGCGGTCTCAAACTAAGACAGACAAATCCACCACCAAGAATAAAAGAGGGGAATGAGCAGAGGGATTGATGCCCACACTCATAGGACTCAGTGTGGGGAGGGACCCTGGACCACTGAACAGGTTAAGACACTACAGTAATCAGACAAATGATCTATACATACATCACTATCACCCACATGGCACCAATTGATGTCCATGCCTGTTCTGTATGCACAGGACCTGATGCAGCTGGGTGGCTTCAAACTATTGTATATGGACAGATCACATCTACTGAGGACAGTGTTGTTAAGTTGACCAACATGTTTCTGTCACCATCCCATCCTGTCTGTCCCACTGGGTGTTATGGAAGTAAGTTATAGTCTCCTATTTGATCTTTCTGGTTTTTGTGAGATGTTAAAGCTGACGATTATTTTGTTTTCAGGATGATAGTAGAGATGAAGTCCGAAAAACACGTCAGAAGATGAAGCCGACCACTTCACACTCACACCAGCACCGGAATGCAGGTAACTTCTTTTGGAGAGAAAGTACTAGCGAGTAGTTATCTATGAACTTTGCTGCACCAAAGTCTGATCCAGCATGTATAATGGTACATATACTTAAACACTCAGTTGCAATATTAGCTAACATGTATCTGAAACTAATGCAGTAACACAACAGTCCTGCATTATATTCTATATTTGTGAAGGTTATAATGCTCAGTTTTAGTTGAAACTGTTTTAGAAAGGTGTAAAGAAATACTTAGAAGAAATACAAAGTTTTCAGGAGCTTTTAAAAGAAAGTGTCCTCTGCCTTGCCACTAGATGGAGACATTTTTTATTAAGTTGCAGTCCTACAGAAAGTTTGTATTGTTGAACTTATGTACAGTTCAGCGGTCGGCTGAGTGTGATTTTTCTCCTTAATTTATTATGTGATGGGAGCGCTCTTCTTTGTGAGCCCATAAAAAGGCGAGCATGACCACCTCATTACCTCAGCAATAAAAGAATACAGCCTCCAGTGAGTGCAGTGTAAGCAATGTCAGTGTGCAGAGTCCAACGGCTCCTCTGGCTCGTTTCGTGGGAGATGATTGTCAAAGTCTTTCGCTCCGACCAGCAGCTGGTGTTCAGGGACCATGCCATCGGGGAAGACGGTCAAGCTCATCCTGTATGAGGTGCTGCAGTTTGCGGCCCTCATTGTACCCATCTTTGTGGTTATGGAGAGGTTCGCCGGCCTCATATGTGACGTGAGAGGACGGGATGTAACGACCTATTGGCTGGTGGTGGCGGCGTCTATCGCCTATGTGACCTCTGTGGCCCTGCTGGTGTGGGTTCCTCTGAAGTACCTGATCCTGAAGCGGCGGAGGTTTATCTCAGAGATCACACAGTGGTGAGTAGAGCTGTAACCAATGTCAGTGATGAAGTATCTACATGTAGATAAAGGATGTAACCTTAAACAAATTAAACAAACAAGTCAAAGTGGTTAGAACACACGGCAGATTTGGGTTTTTGGTCATATTAAAACTGACTTGGCAAGGAGAAAAAGACTTGAAAGAAACTGAAGCTAGCAAAGTAAAATTAGCAATACTACAACATAGAACTACCATGATACAACTAAGTCCTGCTTTCAGAAGTATTATCAGAAAAATATTAGAATAAGTGCCCATAATAATGCAAAACGACCAATGGAGTTAACATGGTGGTTGATGTGAAGGTAATCTTAACTTCTGTTTTGTTGTTTAATCTTTAATCCTTCATCTTATTTCATATTTATTAGGCACAATCTTCTGAATTCATAAGAAATAAACTGCAGCCTCGCTCCGTTCAACACACTCAGGGGTTTTAATGCTGCAGGTATGACTTGGTCTGGTATGGTGGCTAATGTTAGCTAACTCTTATCTAGATATTGCTTTATGTTGGAACTGACATCACTGAGTGAGTTGCACCAGCCTCTTTACATCATCCCGTTATTGTGTCTTTGCCTTTGTTCAGCTAAAGGTTTCCCTTTAATCCACAAAGTAACCAGATAAATCTCATGGGTGAAAAGTGCAATGTTTGCTTCTGAAACGTAGTGTAATACAATTATTTAGTAGCACAAAATGTGAATACTCAAGTATCTAACAGTTGTATTCATTTGTTTTTCAGGAGACCAACAGCGCTGGCGTATCTCATCCTGTGTACATTACCGTGTTTTGCTATTTTAATAGCCAGCTCCAAGGTAACGCATTTCATTTTCTAGATTTAAAACAGATAAAAACAATACACAGAAACACTGATAGGGCAGGTATCCACGGCTGCTTGCTCCGTAGATACCCCAAGTCCAAATAATCTCTACGCCTGTTAGAGTGGAACTATGGGAGCCCATGTCTGACACTGTAATAAAAAGATCAAAATAATGAGAACCTTTCTCAATATTTTGACTTAATATCTCAAAATAATAAGAAATGTTGTCAATATTCTGACCTAGTATCTCAAAATAATGACTTATTATCTCAAATAATGACTTGGTATCTCAAATAATGACTTCGTGTCACAAATAATGAGATATGAAGTCAAAATATTGAGATTTTTGAGATAATTTCTCATTATATTGACTTCTTGTCACCACAGTGGCGTGAAATGGGCTTCCATATGAAACAATTTAGTTTCCTCACCTTCCAATTAATAAATATTCTTCATTTCACTGAGAAAGGCAAATCCAATCAAGTGCTGTAATTCTTCTGGCGTTTCTCCGTCTATCTTACTTACACGGCCCTGCCAGCACATATCTGAAACATCATGGCTCATCTTCTTCCATTTGAGACTGATCGTTGTTGTCGCAGAGAAGCACCTGTTGGTGTTTTTCTTCTTTCACGCTCCGACGGGGTCCTTGAACAGGCACATTTGCTGTAAACAGTCCCTTTGTGGAACAAGCTCGTTTTTATGACCCCTGTGTGTGAGAGAATATGTTTAGAGCACTATTATTATTATTTATTGAGTGATAGTTGACACCACAGAGAAAGATGAAGATTGCTTGTCACCATTTCTTCAGTCTCTTGAGATTTTGCTTCTTGAAGCAGCCGTATATTTTTTCACCGTGTACTGAGAGGGACTTTGGCACCATCGCAATTATGAGAAAAAGAAAGCAGAAACGTGTCCACTGTCTCATGACTGTACTCTGTGTCTGAGGTATTCAGTAACCCATAAGGAACATAACAGGTTGGTCATTAACCCAAACTTTAATACCATCGACCACTCAACAAAACAACAAACAGATATGTGAGAAAGTGTCTTTTATTACTCCATAAGCAAGGACATAGGAGCATCTGGCCACACAAAGACTCGTCAGACATATTCTTACAACTACTATTACTTAATCATGTTTTAAGTTTATTCAGCAGCATCTTAATGTCCACAATGATGAGGCGATAAAACCGGATGGCTTCATAAAACTTGGCTCCTTGTTCTCAGTCCAGCCAAATACCATAGTAAAGAGCTTCCATTCTGTTTTCTTCCTGCTTCATCCCTCGTGATTTCTAAGTTGCAGATTGGTTCTTTCGGTTTAATTCCCATTTATTGACGCTGGTATCGGTTGTACTGCAGGTGCAGGTGGACAGAGGACTCCGGCTCGACCATTTCGCCGAGTTGCCCGTTTCCTTGGTGCTTGTCTCCCTCATCTGTGTGGATATCATAGAGAGAATTCGCCCCTGCAGTCTCATCGGACAATGTAAGTCTTGAAGTTTTTGTTATTATAAAAAATAAAAAAGAATGTAAAGTGTGTATGCCCTGCATTTTCACTGTTTTCTGTTTTAGATTGTTTTATATGTAAGAACAAATGGATCAAAGGCTAAGGGTTCCATTTAGCTGCTTCAGTTTCAGGGTCCGGGTATTGTGCATGCTGGTTCACTGTCACATGGTCAGGACTTACTGGGTCACTTGAGTAGAACAGAGCCATCTTTAGTATCTTTTAATGTTATTACAGCAGTAGCAACTGTGAAGTCAAAATGTCTGCAGTGGAAAAGGTGTGAATCATTAAAGGTGTACACTTCATGTACAAGTACACGTGAGCTGAACTGAGCAGCTTTTCTTATTATTCACTACTCAGTAAGTCTGCATCAGACCGTCAGGCCCTCAGGGGTCCCCAGGATGTGTCCCCGATACGTTTTGGTACGGTATCTTGAGGCCCTGTTTTAATATCAAAATCTAATTTACCTGTAACACCTTGAATATTTAAGTTAATATTATGTGTGCATGGTGCATATCCTTAAACAAATTTGTGTTTAATCAAATTGTCACACATTAATTAACATGCAGCAAACCTGGAGCATGGTGTTTTTCTAGTGTAGACTCAATGGTTGATTTCTGGGACTTTGGGCAAATTGAATTTGGGGATAAGATTGTGTGGGGCGGCACACAGCTCACTTCTGTTCTCTGGGGCCCATTAGCAGGTCCTAGTCCAATCTGGCCCTGATAGCCAGGATATGCCTGTGTGTGCCTCTCCAATGCAATCCCACAGCACCGTTACAAAACAACCACTTTATAAATCAGCCCCAAAAAAACCCTAAAACACTAAACTTTTCAATTGTTGATTATCAATTTGTCCAAAACCTGCTACTTTTACTATTGTTCTATATTGTGTCATTTTGTGTGCTCACTTTCCTTTTTGGATTTCTTTGCTTAACGTAACAGGTTTTATCAGCCTTTACTCGCCCAAAATAAGTTTTTAAGCTTTTCAAAAAGCTGTTATTCACTTTTATAGGTTTTCAGGAGAGGAAGTAACCATTTAGATTCCCAATATGGGATGAGTTTATTCAAATATATCTCTTTGGAAATTTACCCAACGTTCTTGGAGCTGTGAGGAGCTGCTGGCTGTGTGTCGACTGAGCCGATCTGCCAGACGAGGTAAATAAAGGTCCACACTGCAGCTAGCTACTCCAAATAGGCACTATTTGGAAAAACACATCACATATTGGCAAACTAAATGTTACTTTCTCGCCTCAAACTTAACAACTTTGTCAAGTAAAGGATGATAAAGCTGGCTAAGCAAAGTAATCGTGCTATACCTTCTAAAACGGTATTCAGAAAACAAAATGACGCAATGCGGAAGTGCTCGAGTTCAGGACAAAGAATAAGTTTAATATGTTGAGGAGCAAGACTACAGAAGCTGTGTTCAACCATGAAGTACACAGCTGTGTATTCAGTGACCAGTCTATTAGCTTCACCTAACTAAAGCTAATGCAGTCTAATACAACACAACTGTGATGAATCCCACCTTCATGACGTTATAGTGTTCAGTTTCTGTTAAAGCTGTTAACTCAATGGACATTTAGCTTATGGTGTTGTTAAACTGCACTGTGCTTTACAGATAGGTGTTTCTATTATTTTATCCACCCTATTTATATCGAGGAGGGTCGACTAAATAACAGAAATGCATGACGAAAAAACAAAAGAAGACGGTAACCAATCTTGACATCGGCTGGAGTGTAACATTACCTCCCATTTTATGTAGTATAACAGCTGATGTTGTGTGTGTGCTCTTGTCATTTTCAGCAGACAGCTTGGATTCTGACTTTGACACGCCGGGCCCCGTCCTCACCCAACTGGAGCAGGTGACCACTGTGACGGGCCAGCTGCATGCTGACGAAGGCCAGAACGGTTCGACCCGAGGCCCCCCAGAGGCCAGCAATGGCGGCACCTCAGGCAGATGGCAGGACCTTGCCGGTTCACCCGGCCGCTCGACACTCGGCTCACGAGTGCCCAACGCTGCCTACCTGTACTCCTCATCTTCGCGCCGGCGATCCTACTCCGGTCCTCTGGGCTTACTGTGGAGGAGGGACGGGAGGTCACAGGTGTTTGTGGAGAGCTTCCTGTTCTGGCTCGACACTGCGGAGATGGTGAGAGTGGCAGGAGAGCCGTCGATCTTCTACTCAGCCTGGGTGTTCCCCGTCTACATCCTCTCCTTCACGTCTACTCTCCGCATGGTCATCACTCCCAACAACCCGTTATTGTCTTCTGCTGGAGTTGCTCTGCAGGACCTTCCTTTCTTCATCGTGCGAGTGTCTCTGATTGTTGTGTTCGGTTATGTGACTCCTGTGTTGTACCCTTTGAAAAATGTGCTGGTGAGCCTGACTTTTATCTACTTCACATTCGTGGTTAAGCTGAGGATTTTCAGAAGGCAGAGCATGTTTTGAGGAGGAGTGACAGAATGAAAGATCCGCTTTGATTGTGGAATGGTTGAACAGTTGCTGCATTTATGTGAAGGGAGCAACACCGGAGAAACTGGAGAAACGGGTGCTGATGATCAAGAACAACGTGCTTTGAATTGTAACGGCTGTAAATGTGTCAAAAGGCCATTCATCCAAATCAAAGTGTAAAAATGATTCAGGATTTTTTTAAAACTGTTGGAGTGTACAGCTGTCATTTTTCTTTCACATATTTGAATCCAAATGTATTTATTGATAATTAATTTTCTGTTTATCTGCTACATTTTTTTTTTTTATCTGTGCATGTGTTACCATACTGCAAAACAAAAGCTTCTAAACCATTTCAAACAACTGTAACTATGTTAAATAAATATCCTTTGTTTTAACACAGGTGTAAACAACAACATTTTCTTATCAACAATGGGTCAAATGGTCTGCAGAGGGAACGGTTCTACGGTCAGGGGTGAACCTTCGATCAATCTATATTATTACGTATTTATATTAATATAAATAATTGCTATGTAAGTAAGTTATTTATGATTCATTATTATTATTACTTTGAACACAACAGGTTTTGCATCCTTTAATACATAAAAAACGCAAATCTCCCCCATGTTCTGAATATGGCTAAAAGCATTCCTGCTGTCCTCCAGGTGAGTTCAGAGTGCATGTAGAAATGAATACTCACCTGGAAGTAACCATGAATGCTTTTAGTTCTGGGCTTAGAGCTGCACTAAAAAAAAAGAAAAACCTTTATTTTATCAGCTGGCACTGAATGAACAAACTGGGTTCTGTATTAACTGTGTTCAGGGTTTGAGTGGACGACTACATTTTGCCAAGATTTGCTCGTCTCAGACAAATTCCTTTGATTTAAGACAAAAAACTCAACTCAGCACAGAATCCTGCGCTCCGGACCCTGAGGACGGGGACGTTGCCTTCTTGGAAGAAACCACTCCCTGCAGGTGAAATCTAGTTCTTCACAGGATAAAGATGATCACGCATATCAGAATGACATTGTATGGATTTGTAATGAACCTTCCCCAAAAACATGCCATGAAAAAGCCACTTGTAGAGCATCTGCAATCGTTCTGGTTCTCCACTGATTTATTGAGGTTTTTTATTTGATCTGTCCGCATGTGTATGTGGTATGAGATCAATACCCGTTACTCCTCTCAGCCACCACCAGTCTGGACTTAACTGAAGACACATTTCGCATCATCCGTCCTTTTCTCGTCATTTCAGTTGCAAGATTTGTCTTCAGCATACGTTCGCCTGTCACAGAAGCAGATATAGTTTCTTAGTGTCTTACGGCTTCTCCTTGCCTCATCCGTGGGTGCTGCAAATACGCCTCTCACTCTCATCTTCTGCCTGTGTTGCAGGCACCATGGTGCTTTATGTGTTTGCGTGGCAATATAACTCACTGAGTTGTAACCTCGGGCTCTGTGTGGGCCGTATCAACGCAGAATGCCACAGTGACACCACAGAGAGATGCTTGTTGTCCTCCACCAGGACACAGCTGACAGAATTATACCCCATGGAGTACTCGGTCTTTGTCTGTCTGATGGATGAGCCAGGGCTGCAGGACAAACTGTTTTAAGGGAATTTCCAAATCAGTGGCTGCTCTGTTAAAAAACAAAATGTGGGGGGGGGGGGGACATGAAGGAATTTGAATAATAGCAGCAAATGTCCTTCTGTTTCTAGTAAATTTCTGTTGCCTCACTGTGTGGGAAGATTTGTTCGATGCGTTATTTATGGTACAATGGTTCGATGGTACAAGGCCAGTGAAGGGACACTAGACAATCAGCTGTAATTCACAGGGAGGGACCAGAGCAGATGAAAACTAAAATGATCTTCTCTTAATTTCCCACAGCCATGATCATCCTTAATGATTCATACTATAATCTGCAAGAAAGCAATTATGGACAGAAATGTCTTGAAAAGAGGGAACTTCTTTGCAGTGTTTAACGGCAGCAGAATTATCCCCAGTGCCTCCTCATCCCGCTCTCAAGGTAACAGGCAGAACTAAAGAGAGGGTGTCAACAGAGGGGAGACATGACACTAAACGAAGCAACAGTGGAGGGAGACACATTGTGGACATGATGAGGAGAATGACATAGAGGGGGGAAAAAGAGGACAGATTGTGGAAGAGATTGGGGTCGCTGTGAGGAGGGGTGGAGGCTTTGTATATCTGAGAGGCTGGAGGCGCATTTGAATTCAGGCTGTGTCTCCTGCGCTAGCCGAATGTTACCTGCTCTAGCATGGCAACAGAGAGAGAGGGAGAGCGGTGAGCTTCAGCTGCAGCCTCCACACACACACACACACACACACACACACAACAGGAGTGCAAAGAGTGATTCAGGTAAGCAGGAGCGCTCCTGATGAGAGAAGACCCCTGAGAGAGGAAAGCAGCGTGGTGGAGTGAGAGATACTGGAGGAGGAGCTATAGAGCTGCGATTTTCTTTTCTTTTTTGAGGAGCTAAAGGGGAATCGCACAGAAACTGAAAATCTGGACTCCCCCGGTGGACTTACTGCACAAAGAAGGGATGGACAGGGATACAGGCAAGACGGATGTGGAGTGATGCGAGGGCTCTGATTGGACACATCTGACAGACTACAGAGCACTGAGAGAGAGAAGAAAATGACATTTAGTTTTTGGAGCAAGACTATCCGGGGGGGCTTAAGCCAGGGAAGGCTTTAAGGGAGGTTTATCGACAGGGTGAGTCGGGACAGAGAGAGGGGTGAGGTGTGGTAGTGGGAGGGTAAATAAAAACAGGATGACAGATGAGCCACCAGTCCTTCTGACATGAGGTGAGCACACACACACACACACACACACACACACACACACACACACACACACACACACACACACACAAGAAGACACACAAACCTCGCACGCACACTTCTCTGCAGAACAGACAGGTCCACGGGACAGAGCACAGGACTTAAGATGCTGTGAGACGTCTGCCGTTCGGATCACCTGAACCCACCTGAGGACATAACTTATGAGAGGGATCAGCCGCTGAAGCCCCAGGTGATCCTCCCCTGAGAGAACCTGTGGACACAAGTGAGACTTTCTCTTTTTTTGCCAGAAGCCCCTGAAGAGGTGGCGATCAGGTGGATCACCTGTGCCATGAGGATCCTGTGTGTTAGCCTGGCCTGAGACAACCTGCCCCGGAGGCTCCATCAGCCCCCCCTCCTCTCCCCTACAGCTGGATGTCTTGATGTATTGCTGTGGGCTGGGACACTGGCGGAGAGTGCAGTCCACCTATGTAAGTGACCATCGCAGCATGTTTTTGATCCAATAGCAACAGTGGAGTCTTGTGGCAGAGAGGTCGGGGTGATACATCTGTACATCTGTGTAGTCACTGGTCACTTCCACAAACAACGCTGATGATTCATTCACATTTATAGCATCTTCTGCATCTGCAGTCTGTAAGCACAAAAAACACACAAGCAGCTGCGAGTGTGACTCTTACAACCTGTTATTCGCTCACTTCTCAGTGACGGCCTTTGTGAGTTTTTTAGCCCGGCTGCAGTTCATGAGGACAGACGGTGTCATCGTCATTGATCCCAGTACGAGACTTCATGAAAATATTACAGAGGAGCCAACAACCTGTGTGTCACGGTTTCACCTCTCAAAGATGAGCTGATTTTTAATACATGACAGCAGCTTAGAAGAGCTGTCCTGGCTGAGCTGTCTGGAGGGTCCGAGGAGTGAGGGTGGACAGACAGGTGCAGTTATCGCATTACAGGCCAGTTTTTACTGTCCTCTCAATGACAGAGAGGACATCCACTCCTCTCCTCCACTTGTTTCTCCTTATTTCTTCTTTTCTTTCCTCTTCCTTTCCCTCCTCTCCTCTCTGTCCGTTTGATGCTTCATTACAGTCCCTGTTGCTTTTCCCGTCGTGTGTCTACACAACCTCTGTTAAGTCCTGTTGCAGCTGATACTATGGAGCCTCAGAGCTGTGCATTGTGTGATGGCGCTGGCTGCACAGGACCTTATTGCAGCCACATTCCTGAATGGAATAGGCTTACTGTCAGCCCCAAACACTCAATAGGCTGTCAGCGCAAAGCCTCACAGATTACCACATGCTGTTCGGCTGCGTGCAATGTGTGCCCACCTCAGTACCAAGCCAGGAAAGAAACTCACAGAATCAAAAAAGCTGCTCACGGCTAAAAGCATGTGACACATCAAGAAGTCAGTTTAGCACGAGTGCAAACCCTGAACCGAGGAAATGCATTTAAATATAAAGAAAAAAAGGCTAAATCTACAAAACGTGTTGTTTGGATGCACTCGGGCTTGAGAAAATCTTGAGGAATGGTTAACGTGCTTCTGCCTAATGTGGTGCGAGTACATTGCTCATCCCTTATTTCTACTCCATTTGCTGACCTTCAGTCGTCAATGATGTTAAAAAAAGATCAACGCAAGTCACAACTTGGTTTATGACAGTGATTCCTCAAAAAAACTTACTAGATCGGAAAATAAGAAAATAAACATATCTTAATTCACAGTTTGTTTATTTTGTCAGACTTTTCTTTTATCTTTGATTTTTTTATAATAGAATATTGGATAGTTATCTTTCATCGTGCTTTTTATAACAATAACACAACTTTCAACTTTTCTAGCATAAATAACCTGCCATTTTTAATTCAAAATAATTGTTTTAGAAACATTCCTCTAGGTGTGGCCTTTGCTGGCAGCGAACAGAGCTGGATAAAGTGCTGCCTGGCTCTAAGACATGTTCCTGTTCTCTGCTTTAGTTGCTGCCGTTCTCATAATGTCAGTGTCAAGCTTGTCATTGTTCTGTTTGGTGTCCTGTACGTCTTATTTTTACGCTGGATTTTTAAAATGATCCAACAGGGGAAAAGCAGCCCAGTGTTGCCAACACTTTTACAATGAAGTTAGATAGCTGCGCTGGCTTTGAAAGCCGTTTAATCTAGCGAGAAAGTCGCCACTCCCCCAAAATGATTATTATGAACGTAAACAACAAACATGGCTCATGTTAGTACTTAGGAAATATGGGGAGAGAGACAGGAAGTATGAGATGCAACACATCAGATCGATTTAGAAAGAATTGGAAACAAGCCATCGTTAGGAAACCATTGCTTTAATGTACATTTCTGTCACAGCTGTATGGATTCAGCTGCTGCGTAAGTCCGTTTGATGAGGTTTGTAAAGTTTGTTGATAATCACTTTATGTGGCTGTTGGGAGAGGCTTTAAAATGTGAACGGACAGATAACAGAAGTGATTTTCAGGAGTGACAGTGAGTTTGTCTTGTTTACTTCTGTAGCCGAATTTTTAAAATCTGATTACTGAAATGTAAATTCAATTGTTCTCAGATGTACAAAGTGTTAAATCTGAATTGGAGAAGATACATGTGGAGACACTGGTTTTGGGTACCACCTTTCATTTCATGTGCCGGATGCAGCGTCTCTTGAATGTTTCTGACTGCAGAGGTAGTTGTGATTCCTCTCCTCCAAACTTCTGTCCAGGTGAATCTATACGAGCCGCAGATCCATAGAGCGCTAAGGTGGACATTGATTATAAAGCTGAATCAAAATCCTGTGGATTTGGTAAACACGCTGCAAGCTATGGTCGGTATTGACTTGTTTCCACACTCGACACTCACACTGCTATTTTCTACTTCACCGGAGACGAGTATCTGTGTAGGACCAAAAAAGCTCTTCAGGGCTGCTCAGTCTCACCTATTTAAATATGTATTTATGTATTCCTAGAAATGCAGTTTAGAGAAGCAAAATGTATTGATATTGAATGTGTCGCATGTCCAAATTGCACTGCACTGCACTCAACGGTTCTCAAGATAAACAAAGTTCATCCCCACAGGCGGACAGAGATTTCTTGCTTTATACTTAAATGGACTGTTTTCTAACTTTGGAGAGACGGGCGATCTGTTTCCACCCGCTTGCAATTATGTTACACTAAGCTGATCACCTCTTGTCTGCTGTACTTTAAGTACAGACATAAGATTGCTACAGTATCGGTGATGTCACTCTAGTAAAGAGAGGCACTGACTCATTTCCCAAAATGTTTAACTACTCCTTTAAAAACACATCTTTTCTGCCATTTGCAATCGCTTAGAGTGCAGTATATTCAGGACTTTGTGACTCCAGAGCTCCAAAGTCTTAAAACTGAGTTTGTGATTTAGAGATATTCATCTGTTATTCTCTCAGTCCATCTCTTCCTCTCTCTGACCGATCACTGTCATGGATTACAATCAAGAGTATTCAAAATTACAAATGTGCTTTTCTATCTGTGTGGGAACGTTGTGGAGAAATATTATATACTACACACTGGCCCTCTCCAGTCGTCTGTCCTCCATCCTCACTCACTCTCTCACCATCCTGATATACTCTCTGTCCCTCCATCTCCCCGACTCTGCTCTCCTCTCTCACATCTATCGCCATATTCATCCCACCCTTCCTTTCCACTTCTCTTTTTCCATCCATCGCTTCTCAATCTCTCCTCTCCCAGATGTTGGGAGGGCAGGATTGGCCGTTTGCTGGTCCCAGCCTCCGGCATCACGGAGGAGGGGCATCAGCCAGATGTTTGGTTGCATATTCATACAGGGTTTATGAATCTGAAGAGAGCAGACGGCCTCTGAGAAGGAGCAGGAAGAGTTGGATTCAGGTGAAAAACTGAAGGAACTTTTCTGCATGTTCTATTTCTGCCTCTGACGGGCACTTCTGGAGCTATCCTATCTTTGTTTCTTCCTCTCACTCCCACTCCTCCTCCTCCTCCTCCTCCTCCTCCTCCGCCTCCTCCTCCTCCTTGAGTCAGTTTTGGATCATGTTTAGCCGGGTGTGATTGGAGGGCGACGCTCCAGGCAGATGTAAATCTGGTGAGTGTTGTTGGCACAGGGGGCGAAAGCAGTGGAGGACGTCAAATGAAAAGCCCGTCTCCGAGCGAGCTGCTGAAGGTGGACTTGGATCTGTGTGTGTGTGTGTGTGTGTGTGTGTGTGTGTGTGTATGTGTGTGTGTGTGTGTGTGTGTGTGTGTGTGTGTGTGTGTGTGTGT